TCCATGTGTGCTGTTGGCATGTTCAAGTACACCATGGCTTGTGATGCTCCCTCTGTCTGAGTTCTAAAATGCAGCTCAAGGGTCTTCTCTTCTGACAGGAGTCCCTAAATTTTATTCCTCTTTCCATATGCTGATGAAAATTACTTCTTGGGCAAACTCAATCAGGGAAAGACTCTCAGTGTCCCCACAGTGTCTGGTACATGTTACCTAACTGTATAATATTAGTTATATTTGTTGGATGAATAAATGAAAGGATGTTGCTTCTCAGGTTTTTCTAACTCCCTCCCCATCCTATAACTCATTCCGTGATATTATAGTTACTTGATCTGACGTTCCACTTAGGGTAATGATATATTTTTTTATCCCCCAGATCCTATCACAGTACCTGCTCAGTAAACCTTTGTGAAAGGTGTTGAAAGTAGCTGAGGACTGTCTGCTCCTTCAGAAGAAAATGATTCGCACTTCCTGGGCATCCTTTGTTCCTGAAGAATGACTGCAATTTCCAGTCTCCCTCATATGTTGATCATCATGGGCTGGAATAGAGTTCAGACATACTGATCTCATCAGTGCAAAACTCAGTAGCTCAGTGACTGGATTCTATATTCCACAATAGAGAAATAACTAGATTTGGAAATATGTAAGTCAAGAGGTTTTTTTTGTTTTTGTTTGTTTGTTTTTTTTGTTTGTTTTTTTAAATGATCTTCAACGCTACCCTGGATACCTAGACGATGGTGGTTGCTAACAACTGAGCTACAGTTTAGAGCTTACATGTAGCTTCCTGGGTAGTCCAGAAGACCAGCCTCCTTGTTGCAAATATTTCCAGCAGATGACTCTGCTGGAGATGCCACAGTGATGCCGGTGACAGGCTGGGGTTGAGCTGCCTCCAGCTCCCAAATGGAGATGCACTTCCATTTTATGTGGTTTTAGAGGATCTCGTGGCTTGAACGGGGGGGGGGGGGGGGGGGAAGGCTCTACAGAAATGGATCTGTTACTTTAGGAGATGATGGTGCACTCAGAGAAAAGGGGAGGAATAGTCACCTCCTAAGCACATTCCTGCATGGGGTGTCCCCAGTCTGAGTGTCTGTGAGAGTATTTCTTTGCCCAGGTGAACAGCTCTGCCCACCTGGATGTCGTCTTCATGAAACCACCTGAGTTGGTCTTTGGGCAACTGGAGCTGTGTTTGGGGGAGTCTTGGTGACAGCATCAGCCTCTGCTGCAGACTGGTGAGGACAGGGGCACCCCTTCTCCCTGCACCTCCCCTTCCTGCCACAATAAGGACCACTGCTGGTGAATGGATCAAAAAGAAACCATTTGACCAACAGCATGCGAAGGGGAAACGAACTTCATGTGACAGATTGTGTGTGTGAACATTTTCACTGCAGTGTTGACCAAGTCTCTGAATGTGCTCTCTCCCTCCCCTGCTGTCGATTCAGCATTTCTTCAGATTAACATCTTTCTTAACTAGTCATGATTGCCAGCTATTGAACAAATGTTCTACTTTTGAGGACTTCTCTGTGAAAACCGAGACGTGGGAAACAATTTTATTGTATTACTTTTCCTCCTAAAAAGGCCCAATCTGTTAGGTTTCATGTTGCATGCTCTTGGGTAGCAAATTTTTTTGAAGACTTTTCTAATTCTGAACAAATGTCAATTTAAGAAGTCATGAACCTCAAGGACAAATGCATTTTATTTCCTGTTAGCTTATTACGGGATCTTGACGAGAATTGCATGGGGCTACCTCCAGTGAATGTTCCCAGGCCATTCACTGCCTATTGGTTAATGTGACAGTCATTAAGCAACTGATATAGGATGTGAAGAAGGTTGAGGACAAATACATTTAAAATCAATATCTCTTAAAACTTTTTTACTGGCTAAAGCGGAAGTGTGCCATTCATCTCTCAGTGCTTGCTTTCTGCCATATTGATTTCTCAGATCTAAAGGTTGGGGTGAGTAGAACTTTGGCACTTCTTTTTCTCCAATGGAATGATGATTTTTTCTTTCAGATCAAGTTGTCATATTGTCCTTCTAGGTTTTAATGCTCTAAGACCTTTTAAAAAATTGATAAATCCAATAGCATAATTTCAACGATTACTCCAGTGTTTGGACCTGTGCCGGGGGAAGTATTCAGGTCCATGGTTACTTATTCATAATTGTGAAATCTGGGGAACTCTGAAGAAATAGAAGCTTTTTTTCATTATGTTTGGCACAAATTAATTTGGTGACAAAACCTGACCTGAATGGATGCAAGGCTATTCATAGTCTGTAATAATCTTATATAGTATGACTATTAGTAACTATTGCTGCAGAAATCTAACGTGTTTGACCAAGAGTGCTGCCCTAGAATCTGCCAGGGATATTATAAACTAAACCCAGCTCACTTCCTCAAATTAAAAAACAAAACAAAACAAAAAAAACTTATGAATTCCAAAATACATGTGGCTCTAAGAGTTTTGGGTTAAGGAATTGAAGACCTGATCTAAACTGTGAAGGTAATGATTTTTCACTTGCCTGCTAATTTCCAGCCAAAGCCACAGAGCCAAGAGAAATGACAAAATCGTGGATGCAACTTGAAAGGCACAAGAGCTGCAGTGACCCGACTTGCTCTCTACTTTAGCAGAAGATAAGTTTCTTGCTCACCCTTGGGTATCTCCATCTGAACACCAGGCTCCTCCAGCGTATTAAATGAGACTTGACCCGATTACCAACATATTGCTTTATTTCTTGGTGGTAGTAAATTAAGGCTTTCTAGAGTCATACAGCACGCAGTGATTGAACATTAGAAATTAAAAAAAAACAACAACAACAAGAAGAAAACAATGAGCATTCAATTTTGCAGAGGCAGGAAGGAAGCAATGTTTTAAAATGGATAAATTTCCTAGTGAAACATTTTGCTTGGTCTCTAAAAATCTGCTGAGCTGTTTCCCCAGTGACCTTCACCATAGATTCATATCCCAAGGTAGGTGGGGTGGGTGGGGTGGGACAGAGTGGCTGAAGAGAGGGTTGGGGCAAAGGAGAGACTATGAGAGACAGCATGGGCTGGGCAATGCGTATGGAAATCAGCTTTGTCTCATGTGTGGAAGACAGTTTAGGCGATGTGGTCAGGTGGTGGTAATAAAAGTATTTGTAATGGGACACCCCTTCTCTGGTTCAGGGCACCATTTCGGATCTCTCTTCTCATTCCCAGAGTATGAAAATTTGCCACTTGAAGACCCCAGTGCTAATCCTTGTGACTCTCAACTCCTCGTGACTCTGAACTCCTTAAATGTTAGACATGGTCACAAGCCACAGAGCACGAGAATGCTACCTTCAATCTCTTTCATGGTTCTAAACACTGCGACTATCACGAGACACTCTCCCCAGCCAAGTAGTTCACCTCCCACCATGGCACATAGTTGTGATTGCACACTAAGTTGTTGAAGATGTTGACTGGAGAGGAGATCTGTGCCATAGGATGCAGGGAAAAAACCTCCTGGGCGTACGCCACCTCACTCTATCTCCTCCTTCCCGACACAAGACAAACAAACGCAGGGAGCCTACAGTAGGAGTGCAGTTGTCAAGTTGTGTGTGAACTTAATCTGCAACCAATTCCATCTACTTGGCTTGGAGATGCAAAGGTTTGGGTTTGGCTGGTGGACCCTTTGAGAAAGCAGTGGATGACTGAACAGTGATGAGGGAGAGGTGTGGCCAGAGAACGATGTGGGAAAGTCATGTGTTTATTAACAAAAGGCAACCCAATTTCATGAAAATGAGCAGTGGACTTTCTTTTGGCGACCCGATTTCACGCAAATGGATTCCCATCCAAACAGGGCCATTTAAAATGCATAGTTGGCAAGGATTTTAATGTTCTATTCCAAGGGCCTGGTTCGTGGGCCAGCGCCTCAGTGTGATCAACGTGCTCCTTCTTCCATTTGCCTGGCATTTGCGAGTGCACGGTCTTTAAATACCTGAAAGTCTGCTGTGTGCTCTTTGACAGAGAACGTGCAGATAGCCACAGGAAGAGGCACTCGAGGTGGCGATCTGCGCCATTAAACACTTAGGACTTAAGCCCAACAGGCTTCATGGGATGGAATCTGTATGCACAGAGAAATAAATAGATGAGAAAAGTGGAAATGTGATCGGAATGACAAAGAACCAACATGTCTGCTTCTGCCAGCTGCGGGGCAGATGTGTCTGCTGCATGCCACATGTGCACTGAGACAGGAGGGAAAACCCTTGGAAGACATGTGGTCTCTTGGGCCTCCCTTGTTAATTAAAAATCATGAGGGTCTATCTTCCTATGTGAAAACGCTCAGCAAGATCCCCTTGACTGGGGCTGTGGTGTGTGCTGTGTGCGGACAGTCCACGGCCTGCTAAGATGGTGTGGGATCGGGTGGCGCGGGAAGCTCTTGTCACAGGAACCATCCACCTAATGGGGCAGGAGTAGGTGCCCCAGAGACTCACCCATTAAAAGAAACAGGGTTGGGGTGACATTCAGATCGGAGTTGAAGGACATATGGGACATTCATGCTGGCACTTCCCAATCTCCTGAAAGCACCCGCAGAACCAACACTCTTGGAAGAGGTAGATGCCTCGTACGCTGTAGGTAAAGGCGCTGCTGCTTACTGACAATCTCTGTTCTCTCAATTCTAAAATGGGTATGAAGCGGATCCTCGAGCTGGATGGCCTCTGAGTCAGTGTGGGAAGCGAAAGCCCAGAAAGGTCAAGTGACTTGCCCAAGGTCACACAGCTATGTCGTGGCAGAGCCGGAGGGGTGAGAATCAGGTCTCCTCCTGCACAGTGCTACTCGCCACAAGCGATTCTTTAGAAAATGGTTGGAAGCACTTCGTATGTACCCGGTGCTAGGACATTTATTTAACAAGAATTTGCCTGGGCGCGGGATTGATGAGTGCGGTTTAGGCCAATCGAGCAGTTTAAAGAGGAGGAGGTTTGGAGAGCATCATTAGCATGAATGTGTGGTTGCTGTCGGCCAGGGAGGGGATGGGGGCGGGGGAGTGGGGACATGGCGTGTGCGCGCCCAAGCCCGGGACGCCACCAGGAGCGGAGACAGAAAGAGGCGTTCTCAAACACACGGCCATCGGCTTTCTGAGGTACCTCTTTTGGGAGAAGAGAAACTGCCTACAGATGACCTGACCCCCAAAACCAGTTTACCGGCACAGCTCCCCCTTCCTTTCCGTGACCCCTGATGCCCACGAGCTCTAAGGAAAAAGAAAAGCCAGATCCGTAAGGACCTTCCAGGAAGCAAGGGCTGTGAGGAGCCAGTGGGAGGCGGTGCTTACAGACGCCGCTTTTTGGAGACGCGCCGCTCCGTGCGCATGCGGGGCGCCTGCGCAGTGCGGCGAGGGGGCGTGGCCCCTTCAGAAGAAGGCGGGGTTGGTGTGCTCGATGACGCAGCGCTTGCAGTGGCGCTTCACGAAGCGCAGGGCCTCCACGGACACCTCGCAGTCCTGCACGTTGAGCATCTGGAGGTCGAAGCAGTTGGCCGCCACGATCTGCAGGCCCTGGCCCGTGATGCTCTCGCAGGACTTGAGGCTGAGCCGCTTGAGGTTGAAGCAGTTCAGGGCCAGGCACTCGAGGCCCGTGTCAGAGACCAGCGGGCACTTGCCGATGTCCAGGGACTTGAGTTTGGTGCAGTTCTTGGCGAGGTACTCCACGCCGTGGTCCGTGATGCCCTCGCAGCCCCTCGCGTTGAGGTAGCGCAGCTTGCTGCAGTACTTGGCCACGTAGCGGATGCCCACGTCGGTGACCCGGCCGCAGTGGGCGATGCTGAGGTACCGCAGGCGCGCCTCCAGCTTGGCGATCTCCCGCAGGCCGAAGTCGCTGACGAAGCGGCAGTCGCTGACGCTCAGCTCCTTGATGGACGTGCAGTAGATCATCAGGTAGCGCAGGCCCTCGTCGGTGAGGCGCACGCAGCGGCGCAGGTACAGGTGGGTCAGCTGCGTGCAGTGCGCCGCGATCGTGTGCAGCCCTTCGTCCTCCAGCACGAAGCAGTCCGTCATGTCCAGGTAGCGGATGGAAATCTGTTTGCCATGCAAGGGGGACAGTTTAATGGAGGCCTCCCGGGTCAAGCTGATGCAGGTCACTTTGGAGCACCCTACACAGGGAGACAGAACACAGGCTCAGAGAACCTTCGAGAACCGGGTGTGTGTGTGCGCGCATGTGCCTCACCTGGGGGGTGCCATATGGATTCCTACAACACCCCCCACCCCCAGACCTGGCCCCGATGTTACCCCTGCCCCTGTGGAGAATGAGAGCAAGAATGGGTTCTCCAGAGTCATCTGAGCCTTTATCTATTTTGGTGATCTGGGTTTAAGAGGCTCCCTGAGCTTTCGAATCAGAAACACCAAAGCTCCAATTCCACATCCCTCTCTAGTTGCCTGATGTGGGTCAAATCAATCCTTCTGAGTCCTTTGTCTTAAAATGGGGATGATAATGTTCCCTGCAAGGTCGCTGTGAAGAATAAAGAAGACCATGCTTGTAAATATCTTGCCCTGGCCCAGAAGGTCCTGGAAGCTGGGTAAGGGCTGCTTCTCACCGGACAGTGGTCCAATAGCTCTGTGGGCAAAGTGGGAAGATGCTGGAGAAGGTCTGTCCATGACCTTGGTTTGGCCGAAACAGCATTTGGAAGTCATACCTGGCTCAGGTCTACTTCTTAGGGCCTCAGGGAGGAGGCTCAACTTTTCTGTCTCAAGCAACGAGCATGAGTAGCTGGGGTGCTGGTACTGTAGGGGTATCATGATGATGCAAGGAAATAATGGGTGCAGAGGTACTCGGAAAACTCCAGGGGAAAGACATGTATTTATTAATCTAACCACTGGCCACCTGGAGACTCAATTCAACTCCTTTTTTGTCAAGGAATAACTGTGTCACCTGGATGATTGCTCCAGCCCCTCACCCAGTCTCCTTGTCCTGCCTCAGAGCTGCTGGAGAGATTCTGGAAAACAGAACTCTAATCATGTCACTTTGCTCAAAGCCTTTGGATGCCACCCCCTAAAGCCTAAGGGTGCCCTGAGGACCTGCACCCCTGTTCTCTTTGACTTCATCTCTCACCCCCCTCCTCTGAACCAACTGGCCTCCTTGCTGGTTCCCAGACAGCTCCTCCTGCCTTAATGTATGTGCACTGGCTGGGGCTTCCCCAAGTAGCCCCGTGGGTCATCCCCACCTTCTGAGGTCTCTGAGCACACGTCAGCTAACTGGACCGTTCTTCCCAATCACCCTGTATGAACTGGTGTCCCTGCTTGATTCCCATTTCTTTTCAGCACTCTTTATCACTTTGTGACATGATACATTTATTTGTTCATTTATGTATTTGCTGTCCTCACTCTAGAGGGTAAGCTCCTGAAGAAAGGGACTCTGGGCCATTCACGGCTGTATCCCTCATCCCTGGTTCTTAGCTGGTGCTCACGAAGCATCTGTTGAATGAACAAACTAGTGAATTATAGTGAATAGAGTCTTCTGTGGGAAGATCAGATAGGGTAATTCATTTTATTTACTTTTAAACAACGAACATTTATTTTTCACAGTTTGGAGGCTGACAAGTTCAAGATCAAGGTTGCTAGCCAGTTCATTTCCTGGTTTCTGGCGAGAACCCTCTTGGAGACCGCGGCCTTCTTACTGATAAATTTCCACGTTGTGGAAAAGTGAGCAAGTTCTCTGGTCTCTGTGTTATGGAGGCACTAATCCCATCATAGGTGCCCCAACCTCATGACCTCACCTAAACCTAACGACTTCCCAAAGGCCCCACCTCCTAGTATCATCACACTGATGGCTAGGGTTCCAACATAGGGATTTTGGGGAGACACAAACATTCAGTCCATAATACTACCCTCCTCTTCCCACACATAGCCAGGCCTTTCCCCTGAGGCCAGTGCTCTCATACCAAAAATGTCTCCAGAAGATGGCAGTTAGGCATAAATCATGCCCAGCACATGGGAGGCCCACCCCAGTCACATGGTGGGGTGAAGGGAGGATTTCCTCTCTTTATGTAAGTACCTGCAAAATATATATGATTTCACCTCCTGGTCCATAAAGCCTATATAAGCCTCTAGGAAATATTTGAGGACCTTGATCTAGGGCTAATTTTGCTCCACTCAGGAGAATTTAAATTCCAGCATTTAAATGCGTTCAGGACTTTGCCCATGGCTTATGTAAATTTATACTATTACACAGTTGTCTGTTTTATATTTCATTACAATGCCTTTTATTTGTATTGAATTATGAAGTTTATAGAATGCTTTTATAAACATTTCCTTACCTGATTTTTAATCAATTTTACTGATAAGGAAATTCATCCTTAGGAAGGTTTGTGTTGTTGAGATCTAGAATCCCTTTAATACTCCATCCTTTTTCAAATAATTGGAAGATATCTTTAGCTATCTTTCTAAACACTGTTTCTAGCCACTCTTCCCCTACGAATGTGTGTATAAATGATATATACATTACATATCATATATAATTATATATGTAGCATATATATTTATATTATATATTGACTATATTTATATGTTAAAACATGCTGTACATATTTTGTGTAGTAATAGCAAGTGAATTGAAATATACATTGAAATGGGTGTTTCATAGATATATATATTATAGATATGTTTCATCCCACTACATAAACTGTATCTGTATTTTTCACTTTCTCTGTGCTCGTCCCAAATCCTTCTTGCAGTTCCAAGGCCAGGTGCTTCACCTCAGGCACCTCTGTGCCCTGGCTTCGCAAGCAATATCCAGGGCTCCCAAGTGGCGACATAATAGTGCTAATGGGGACGGTCCTCCCACCTCCTGGCAGGCTGCCCAGGAAACGCCTGTGAAATTCAGGTCCTGGGAATAATGAGGTTCAAAATCCAAGTGCTACCAAGTCAGAGATTTTCAGGAACGAGAGAAGCATACAATCCAATGCTGGAGAACAAAGCTGTGACCCGTCAGAGGTTGTCCCCTCTGCTCCATCCAGTAGCCCTCATGGTTTTGCAGAAGGTTGTTTGTACCCCTCACCTTTAGATCTGAAATCTTCCTTTGTTTGGAATTTCTTGTTTTTAGAGCAGCCATAATCCTGCTTATACTGAATTTATATGTCCACAGTAGTGGCTTCCCATCTGCGATGCCTGTGAAGTCACCTTGTTTTTCAAGATCAGATGACAGCCTTTGTTCCTAAACTCTTAGTTTCGGTTTCTTATTTTATTTTATTTTTTTTTAATATCTAGTAAAATCTGATGCCCTGCAGGAAGGACATTATATTCGATTCAGGGAAACACGTGCCTTGTCTTGAAACCAAGTCCCCAATTTAATGAAATACCGATTAAGTTCAGTTTTGGTAAAGATGCTATTTTGATCTGCTTGTATTATTTTAGATCAATAATTTTAATTTAAGCCTGAACCTTAATTCTTACAGATTTGTTACGTTTGGATTGAAAAGAAAATAAATTGGTTCGTGGCTCAGTAGGTAGCATCTGTGGTTAGCTCATGCATGCATACGTTACAGAGATGCAGAGAACCTTAGAAATCATCCCATTAAACCTTCATTTTTTAAAGATGAGGCATCTCAGTCTCAGTGAGATTATGAGACTTGGATAGCCAGACTAGGGAAAGTTTTCTGTTCCATGGCTTCCGTTGGATCAGATCAGTTCAAGGAGAGGAGGTAAGAAATGACTAGGATAGAGCATGCATTGATGAATGGCATGAGAGACTTACTATAGCTGTGCCAGCATGAAGTGAACATTTAGATATTAAAGAATCAAGAGTCTTGGAAGTACCTATACGAGGATTCTTGGAAGAGAGAAGCAATTTGGTTACCCGTATGGAGATGAGGCAGTAAGGTGATAGCATGGGCAAATATGAGACCGAGAAAGCAAGGGGGCAGTGGGGTTGTGAGGAGTGGTCAAAGGGTGGAATGCAGAGTATCTGAAAGCCTTTAATGGGAACTGAGATAAGAATGGTCCACTGGGGATACAGATTACAGGACCTGCCCAATACTCAACAGGATATGAATACTACTCAATGGGAAAGGAGCAATCTGGGTTGAATTTATCTGTGGAGTTTCTTCAGGTAATTCCGGATTTGGTTCTGCTTTCATAAAAGTGTCCTTCGTTACCACCTCCTCTCATGATTGGAGGACTCCAGCTGTCCGGTTTTAAGAGGACCCTCGGAGGCAACTTCATTTGCGATAATTACAATATATGTAATTTTGAAAACTGGCCGGCTTTACGGTGTTTCATTGATGTTTCAAGGTTTTATTAATTGTGATAGTTAATTTTATGTCAACTTGAGTTGATGACGAGGTGCCAGGACCTTTGGCTAAAACATTTCTGGGGGTACCTCTAAGACTTTTTCTGGGTCAGATTAACATCTGAATCAGTGGACCCAGTAATGCAGACTGCCCTCCCCAATGTGGATGGGCATCATGGATCAGTTGGGGGCCTGACTAGATCAAAAGGGGGAGGAATGGAGAATTCTTTCTCTGCTTGACTGTTTGAACTGATGCATTGGTCTTCCCTTGCCTTCGAACTGAGACTTTATACCACCAGCAACCCTGGTCCTCAGGCTTTTGGACTTGGACTGAACTCTACTGCCAGCTTTTCCTAGGTTTCCAGCTTGCAGAGAGCAAATAAATCTCTGCGCTCGTGCGCGGGCACACACACACGCACACTATTGATGTTTCTTTAAAGAACCTGGACTAAATATTAATAAAAGGTAATATGTGATAATGACAAAAGCCTACAAGCTAGTTATAGTAAGTTTCAAGGACTTGAAAATACAGCTTTCATGGTGAGTGTCCTAGGGGCACGAGAGGCAGTCTTACATCCTCTGGGGGAATTAAGCTGTAGACCAGCAATGAATCTTCTAAAGTCCAGTTTCCTGCCAGTGAGAAGGCCAGCTTGAAAACCAAGGGGAACAAGGCAGAGGTGAAATCGCCTCTGGCAGCCCTCTGGCTTCTCTCGGTATCAGCCTCAGGCTTCCAGATTCCCTCAGAACTGGAGCACACTGTTTGGACCCCCCCCCCAAATCCTGTGTTCTTGTGAGTTAGCGATTCCCTTGGGTACACTGTCTACACCCATCACAACGGGTCACTGAGAGGCGTGTGAGAAAAGCACACAACTATCAGGCTCTGCAGATAAAGGGGATATAGAGGAAGGGTATCAGGCTTACAGAATGGTCAGCCAAAGGGGCCTGGCCCCATCCACTCACTCGGGCTAGAAGCCCAGGAATTTCCATTCCCCAAGTAGTTTCTATATTTCTGAATTTCAAAAGGTCTCCGGTGGAAAAGGGCACCGTACTTGCAGCCTGTCCCAAGGGTGCTCAGGGAGTTCCCTTAACAAAGACGGGGACTCCAAGAACAAGTCATTCTCTAACCTGATTTTTGAAAAGACAAGGAAATAAGGTGTCTAGAGAATAGGCCCACAATGTACAGAATCTTAGAATGTTAACGAAGCCAATTCCTTGCCTTTTTTTTTTTTTTTTTTTTTGACTGAAGAGGAAACACCTCTAGAGAAAGCCGTGAACTGTCCCAAATCACAAAGTTTTGAAACCAGTCTTCACCACATCACAATGCTTTCTGTTTCCAGAATTCCTTGGAGGAAAAAAATGTAAGAAAACCTCTTTGTTTCCTGCCTCTTTATGCCAGCGGCTGCTCAGGATGAACCGAATGTATGGTTACTATGGTTTTGTCCTGAAGCCAGCAGAAGGGAGGCGGGGCTAGAGGGCACGGAGTGGGTGGGGGGTGGGGTGCGGGTAGAGTTGCTTTCCAGCAAGGGAAAGAATCTGTGAAAAATAATTGACTGTCATCTGAAATATTTTCAGATGTTGGCTTTTGACGGAGAGAGCAGGCCCAGAGAGCGGACTTTGACTTCAGATTTTGATGGAGGGTATCGTGTACCTCCGATGCCTGTAAATCCCCGATTCTGTTTATTCGCATGTCTTGGTGGTTTGTACTTCTGGACCCCTCCCCAACCATCCCTGAGGTTGTGGCTCCTGCTGTTCGTTTCTTTAACTCCCTGATGCATCTCACACATTTCAGCCTCTCCTGTGTTGGTCTGTCTTTGGACTGGGCAGTGGATGAGATAAAGAAAGGCTGTTAGTCCGGCTGGACCCATGTCTGGTGCCAAAGTGTGAGTCTGGGTTTTAATTCTTCCTGCCTGAGGGAAGTTTTCAAGCAAAGCAACCATGCTGGGATTTCCTTCAATTTTAAAAAGATCTAAAGGTTCCACTTGATGGGCCTTGTGCTTGCACTATGTAACTGAGAATTTTGCTTAAAAAAAAAAAAAAATCCCAAATCAACCCAAGGGTGAAGAGAATAGAGTGGGGGCAAAACATAAGGAGACCCATGGCCATGATGGCTTTTCCCCAGTGTCTGCAAAATGGCAGGCAATCGTGAGCACAGCCCAAAGCACAGACTCAGCTTAGACACAGCTTTTGGGCTCTCTGAAATAATAACCAGTGGGCATAAAGGGCGGCATCTAAACGGCCTGTGTTTGGGTTAGATATCTGGTTCCTATTCTATAGGTTGCTCTGAAATTCAGGGACAGCTATGGGGAGGAAGGATGGGTTTAAAAGTCATGTTACCTTAACAGCCAGACGAAAAGATGACTCTAGCGCCTTTAAGGAGTTGGCATGTGATGAAAAGGATACCTCTGGCTTCTGGGGTCGTGATTACATAGACGGTCTTTCTGGAAGAGTCCCCGTCCTTACTGCCCAACCCTGCATCTCTAATGGCTACCAGGGAGGGAACCTTCTCCAGGTGGCAATGTCCTCCTCTGCTTTGGGAGGGTGCCCTGGAAGGCCTCACGGGTGGGGAGGTCGCCTGCCATTTACCTGACACGTCCAGGTGCTCCAGGTTGGGGCAGAGGGACACCACGTCGAAGACCGCCTCGTTGGAGATATTGTAACAGCCCGAGACCTCCAGTTGCCTCAGTTCGGGGCAGCACTGGGCAATGGTGTAAAGCCCTCGGTCCGTGAGCCGCCTGCAGCCACTGACAGTTACGGTTTCCAGCATGAGACAGACGTTGGGTGTGTCCTGACAGAGCCTGCGGGTCAGCACCTTGAGGGCGCGGTCCACGTTGATGGTCTCGCCCGTCAGGCGGATAGTCCTCCAGAGCCGCGGGTCCCAGGCCAGGTTGTACCAGCGGCGGCACACGCGGGCGCAGCGGCACAGCTGGTTGGTGGGCAGGAAGGAGAAGATCTGCACCATGCACTGGTCCGGGAGGCGCTCGATGCTGGCCTGCTCCTTCTGTGGTCTGGAGGCCAGCCGGATGAGCGGGTGGGTGAGGCGGGTCGGGGGCGGGGAGTGGACCATGGCCACCGTCTCCCCGGTGATGGAGGACGAGGACGTGGACGAGCCCCTTCCATTCTGAAGTCCGGGCAGGTTCGGGGGACATATCAGGGCTGGGCTGGGCGTGCTCAGTGTGCGCATGCTCAGGTCGGAGTCTGGCAAAGGACAGAGAGCAAAGGGTTAAAAGGATAGCCCTTAGCGGAGCCCAGGGAAGGTGGCAAACCAGTGACACTCCGGCCACTGATATTTGTCCTGGGCAGACCCGCTGCCGAATCCATCACCGGATGCAGGAGCATTTGCACATTTCACCCATTCCAGAAACAGTCCTCTATCTGCGGGGGTGGGGGGCAACCTTCTCTGTGCAGGGCCAGATATGGAATGTTTGAGGCACTGCAGGCCACATGGGCCCTGTCTCCGTTGCCATTAATCCACCCTGCCATCATAGTGCAAAAGCTGCCATAGACAATACGTAAACAAACAGGGGCGGCTGTTTCCATAAAACTTGTTTTATAAAAACAGATCAGCTGGAGTTGACCTGCGGGCCATAGCTGGCTGACTCCTGGTCTCCATGAACTGTGGTCATCTAAAGGGCACAACTTCAAAGTTTCATTATCTCTATTCCAGGAAGAAATCTCACATATTGTGAACACAAACTCTTCCCCTTTTCTAATTACATTTTGGGTTGGCAGGTGATTCCGTTGCATTTACCAATGAAGGGATGAGTTTCAGAACAGAGGAAGACTGGCTGATGGACAGAGAGAGCATTTGCTGTCTTTGCCCTGGCCTGCCCCCTAGTGTCCAGCCCCTCATCTTTTGATAACCATACCCCAAACTCTGCAGTCTGGGGCCTGGGGAGTCACCCCACTTCAGCCATTCAGGTGGTGTTTCCAGGCCTTGACTATCTGTGGCAATATTTGTTTTTTTTTCTCTTTCTTAACTCTGCCCTTTGCATTTGAATGACATGATTCCTGTACTATTCCTTGAAACCGGAAAGACAACCACTTAATAAGGATACAGTGGTTTTTAAGTTTTTGAAGGATTAAGAGTTCTTTAGAATACCACTTTAAGATGTCTGCTCATTACCTACCCCCCCATCTTAATATCTTATGAAATAATTTATTTTCTATATAAATACATTTTTCGTGTACTTTGCATACATAGATGGATTGATCTACTTAAGATGATATTTAGTCTCTCTCTCTAAATATGTTTATATTTTACACACACACACACACACACACACACACACACACACAGAGGGAGAGAGAGAATTTATCTCCAAAACACAAGTTTCTTAATCTGGGAAGAAAGAAATAAGTGAGCGGGGCTGGATGTTTTCTAACTAATTTCCAGCTCTAATTACAGCTCTAAATACTTAAACAAAAATTCTATCCTTGTGTGCTTTTCCACATCTCATAGTTGGGAATTTTCAAACACTCATTTTTTTTTTTTCAAAGAACTTCCAGTAATAGCAGACAACACAAGAACTTCTGACACTGGGGCTCCACTGAGTGTCTATTTGTAGTTTTCCGACTGGTATACTTGTTCTACTGGTACAATGTTTTCTTTCAGTTTGCTTCTTTACAGCCTAACACGGAAAATGTCCTACATGTCAGTGACTTTGCTCATGAATCATCTCTGAATTAGTTTTCCTCCCTCCCCTCCCCTTGTCTGCCTCTTGAAATACACCAAGTGCAAATGCCACGTCCTCTAAGAATATTTTCTTAATGTTTTTGAGATACAGTCAGTCCCTTCTCTATTGAAATCGCCGTCCTTTGTTATTACGCAGTGGTGAATTTATGTCTCCCTAATGTGCTTGACCATATTATTTCTCTCAATTTTTCAGCACTCCCTGTATCCACGTATCTTTGTCTGGTGACTCTGGGGTTCCTCCGAGGGACAGTAGATTTGTTTTGTCTTGTGATGTTGGGCTTGGCCACGTGACTTGCTTTGGCCAGTGAGTATTAGGACGTGTGATGTGCCCAGTGAGAAGAATGTGTCTGGCTAGTACTCTGATCATTAGGTGGTGAGAGGCCCATGGAGAATACAGAACTGGCTGAAACCTGCAGCTTCGAGCCAACCTCAGCCAAGTCCAGCGGAGGTCCCTGACACCCAGGGGAACCACAGATGTGTGAGCTAGAACACTGAGCTCGGGGTGATTTGTTACACAGCATTACCGTGGTAACAGATGACAAATAGGCCTTCATTACACTAAAGACTCCTTTGAGACAAGGATTAGAGCCTTATCGTATTTACGTTCTGGCAGCATCTGACACAGTTTATCATAAACAGTAGGTGCATATGAATTTCTTGCATTGAGAAGAAATACTTATAATGTTTAAAAAAACAATCATTTCTAGCTTGGCATGTACTTCTCTATCCCAGGTGGTATACAGACTGTGTTTTAAATCATTCATAAGAAAAGAAACGTGTCCATCTCTCTCTCATCATCAGCTAAAAATATAGTAAATCTTTAAGGAAAACACTACGGGATTTCCAAACTGCTATTCGAGCTACCGTGGTACTAACCTTCATTATGATGTGAACTTTGAGCATTGCCTCCGAAGTTAGCATTTTTCTTAGGCAGGTGAACAGCTTATTTAGGGCCAGAAGGGGGAGGGCAATCTCAGGCTTTCAGCTCTGACATTTTCCTGGCTGTGAGCGTTCTAAAATCTCTCTCCTGCCTGCCTGCGTTCTTCATCTTGAAAGAGAAGACACTTCACAGTGCTCGGTGGAGACCTGCGCTTCTTGAGTTACGCCCCTGGGGGATGAACACGCTTGTGGTAGGGAATGGAGGATTCCTAAACTTCCATGTATAACCGATTCACTTTTCTTCGCTTTCATGCTCCCTGCACTGAGGGAGAGAATGGGGACGCATCCAGATTGACCAGAACTGCTGTGCTGTGAGTAACACATTCCAGTTTTTCTTTGCCAATAATCATACCCGAGCGGTAATGGAATTCACACTCAGAAGGAGATGGCAGCCTCGCACATCTGTGAGGAACATTCTGTCCTGGAGAGGGTTCAGGAGCAAGTAATTACTCTCTTTCCTGACTTTTCTAGAGCTTAGCAGCGGAATTCTCAGGATTAATTCATGATCTCGAGGCCACTGCTCACCCACGTGGGGAGACAGCAGGAGAGCCTGTGGATTTCTACCAGGAAAGCTGGATGTCTCTTTCGCCAGAAGGTACTCTAGGGTTCTCAGGATCCTTCCTAGTTATTCAGGGACTCAGACTTTTTGAAAGGGTATGATTTGTCATGATTGAAAAATAGCACCTGATGATTAAATTAATAATAAAGAGCAATGAGTAATGCAATGGGCTAAATGTTTGTACCCTTCTCAAGTTCATGTAGAAATCCTAACCCTCAAGATGATAGTATAAGAAGGTGAGCCCTTTGGGAGGTGATTAGGTCATGAGAGTAGAACCCTTACAAATGGGATCCCTGCCCTTATAAGACTCTCCAGAGAGCTTTTGGATGCAGTAGTATTTACAATTGTTTTATCTTCTTGTTAGATCATCTCCTTTATTATTATAGTGTCCTTCTTTGTCTCTTGTTACAATCTTGTTTTAAAGTCTGTTTTATTTGATATAAGTATTGCTTCTTTTCACATCTGTTTGCATGATAAATATTTCCTCATCCACTCACTTTCAGTCTGCATGTGTCTTTAGGTGTGAAATGAGTATCTTGCAGGCAGAGCGTATAGATGGTGGTTGTGGTTGTTGTTTTTAATCCATTTGGACACCCTATGTCTTTTGTTTAGAATGTTTAGTCCATTTTCATTCAAAGTAATTATTAATAGATAAGTATTCATTGCCATTTGGTACTTGTTTGTGGTTGTTTTTGTAGTTCTTCTCTGATTCTTTCTTCTCTTGCTGTTTTTTGTGGCTTGCTGGCTTTCTTTGGTGATCTACTTGGATTCCATTCTCTTTATTTTTTGCATATCTATTATTGGTTTTGATTTGTGATTATCATGAGTTTTGTATATAACCTCTACCTAGAGCAGTTTATATTAAGTTGATGGTCACTTAAATTTGAACCCATTCTTTACTGTCCCCCCCCCCATTTTAGGTGTAATGGTGTCATATTTTACATCCTTTTATTCTTTGTATCTCTTGGCTGATTTTTACAGATATACTTATTTTTACTGATTTTGTGAGTTTCTTGCTTTTCTTACCCTTAGTTATGGCCTTTCCTTTTCACTCAGAAGGTCTCCTTTAGCCTTTCTTGTAGGGCTGGTTTAATGATCATGAACTCCTTTAGCTTTTGTTTGTCTGAGAAACTCTCTCTCCTTCTATTCTCAATGATAGCTTTGCTGGATAGAGTATTCTTGCCTGCAGATTTTTTTCCTGTTAGCACTTTGAATATATCATGCAACTCCTTTCTGGCCTGCAAAGTTTCTGCTGAAAAATCCACTCATAGCCTTACAGGTTTTTCCTTGTTTGTAACTGTTTTCTTTTTGCTTGCTGCTTTTAAAATTCTCTCCCTATCACTACTATTTGCCATTTTAATTATATGTGTCTTGGAATGGACCTTCTTGGGTTGATTTTGTTAGGGGATTTCTATGTCTATTTTCTGCCCCCTTTTCTCTCTTCTTCTGGGATTCTTATCATGTGAATGTTATTATGCAGGATGGAGTCACTAAGTTCCCTAAATCTATTCTCATTCTGTTTACTTTTCTTCTCTCGGCTGCTCAGCTTGATTACTTTCCATTGTTCTGTCTTCTAGGTCACTAATTCATTCCACTTCTTCTGGTCTGCTACTTATTCCCTCAAGTGTATTTTAAATTCATTATTGTGTTCTTCATCTCTGATTGGTTCTTTTTTGTCTCTTTGTTAAGGATTTCATTGATATCCTCCACTCTTTTCTCAAGTATCTTTATGATCATTACATAAATTCTCTATCAAGCACATTACTTATCACCATTTCACTTAGGTCCCTTGCCGTAGCTTCAACCTGTTCATTTACTTAGGACATTCTCCTCTGTCTCCTAATTTTGCCTAACTCTCTATGTCTGTTTCTGTGTGTTATAGGTGTCACCTATATCTCCTGCTGTTGAAAGTGGTAGTCTTATGAAGAAGAGATCCTGGAGTGCCCTGCCATGCAGTTGTCCTCTGTTGACCAGAACCTGGTGCTTGGTTGTGTCTCCTAAGTG